TTTACGAAATCCATCCTCGGAACAAGGATCCTTAAAACGTACAATTTACATACTCCTAAATGATCATAATTAGAACAACCATCGGAAAAACAGAAAACTACACTAATGAGAAGTCGGACATTCCATATTTCGTTCAGTGCTACTGCTATCATCGTCCTTTGAAGCAAATAAACTTTGTGCAGCAGGGCAGAGCATATTGGTGACGTCTAATCATTTGAAATTTCTCACACTTTGTCATTAATGCTTTCCCATTGGTGAACAAAATATGACTGACCATTTGAGTCAAATACAACATTATTTTCATAGAAACAAAATTTTACTTTTCACACAGCTTTTGCGACAGTTTCAAAGACGCAATGCAAAGGGCTGATGTCCATCATTTGTGACCATGACCGTGAGCTTTTCTCATGGCGGTAAGAATGTTCTGCATTTCGTCTCGCTTCCGTTTGGCACGTTTGTGGCATCCAATTCTCTGTTTCAGATACTTCAGCGCTTTTTTGTCCCTGGACACACGCAACAACTCGATTGTACGCTTCTCGTAGGGCGCCAAACCACACACTTCCCGGACGATATCGCGAACGAACTTCACATGTTTCGTTAATCGGCCCTTCATCTGCGACGGCCGCTTCCGCTTTACATTCTTGGTCACTTTGTGACCTTTCTTTAGGCCAACGGATAGTTCGTACTGCACAACCATTTCTCACGTACTACAAGAGAAAAGAAAACAACACCGCTTAACAGATGCGTCTGCAGTCGTGGTGAATATTGTAGTTCTGCTATAAAGTGCATGAGAGTGTACCTGCTGATTAACGTTGACATATCAAAAAAACAACAATAATGGATATATACCATTATGTAAATTGCTATGGAAGAAGGTACTGATTCGTTGGCCGTTTGAATAACAGTAAATAATCCTCATTTCTCAGTCCATGAGGAAAGGCAGCAGTAGGATGATATAGAATTTGTAACTCACGGATGCTGCGTCGACACGCTTCGTGAGTCTGGCAATTTACATGTGAACGATGAATTCAACTTAACTCCGTCGCTGTCA